CAGAGCTTTTGCAACGAAAGCGCTGGTGGAGCACTGCGATCCTGCAATCCGACAAAACCATGAGGGCTTGAAAGCATGGGCACATGGGCAGGAAGTGGTTAAGTGAGTGAATGAGAACAATTTTAATAAAATCCCGATTATCTTCGAAAAGCTTTTAATTGCACTTACATATTTACTAAACATTGAATACGAAATGGACTTTATTTCATTTGTCAGTAATTAAATTGCATATTTTCAGGCTTGATTTGCTTCCACTCGGAATAAAATATCATAAAAAGGCAAACAAAAAAGAACGCGCATAAAATGATAATAGAAACAAGCCATTTGGACCGGTTTTGGAAAATTTTACGACATACGCGAAAAGGCCGTAACGATATTAAGGACGACGGTCGCGGCCGGCGCAGCGCGTGCTTTTATTTGCGATCATTAAATATTTCGCTCGCGATTATTCCTGGGCGGGCGCGTACACGGCCGGGCGCAACGCAACAAGCCGCGCCCGCGCCTAAATTAAAAATTTAATTTGGCAAACGTCGGCCGGCGCATATTGAATTTTCGCCGCTCGCCAGCTCGCAACTGAAAAACGCTTGATCTTAAAGATGCTTGCGCCGCCGAGGAAAAACCAACATGCAAACAAACAGGAAACACGAAATTTCATTAGGCGCATTTGATTTGAAGTAAACAAATTATGTATTTTTAAAAGTATGCCACGTAATAGCATTTGAGTTGCATAATAAAACTAGTGATATAATATTTATACAAAACACAACATTTTAACGAAAATGAAGTTTGGTAAAATTAATTTATTGCCTAGGTAGTAAAATGATTTTTTCTTTTGGAAAGTGCAACTTTAACTGCAACAAATTGAATTTCCACGTTGCAAACATTTCAAAAACAGTTTCAATTCATTTGGACAAAAAGTTAGTAATTAAAATACGTGAAAAAACAAGTTGTTGGGAAACCATTTAGCAGATCCTTAGAAAAACACTGTAATTTTACGGGTTCTTTTTTTCTTGCAAGCGAGCTTCCTTTTAGCAAAGTATGCAAAACGCAGCTTAGCTGTTTATCCTTGCTGAGACGTGCAGCACACAGCAGCAGCTTTTGCCTCGGTTGCATCGCCACCGTACTGTGTATCTGAAATTGCATTATTGATCTACACAGGCGTCGTTTTATTTGCGCGCCGTATTAACACTGTTGATGCAAACGTTTTTCAAAACGCCGGCCTTTTAACGCCGCCCTGCTGCGAATGGGAAATAAACGGATTTCGCACAGCGATCCGAAACGGACTCACATTCGGATCGTGTTCAAGTCGACTCGACCACAAATCATTTATCAATTGCTTCAGCCAAGTCTGAAAATCTGTGAAGCGTTGAACGAAAAACCTTTTCAAAGAATGCACACCGTACTTGAGGTCGCTTACATTATACTATACGCTTTTTCAAAAGCGTCGTCACAACTAAAGCTTGCCGCGTTTGTGAATGTTTTTTCGGCGCGTTAAATCTGATGAGCTTCACTTCAGTTGCGCGCATTGAAAGTGTGCGAATTTTGTTTTTATTGTATTTATTTGAGCGGATTTTTTTTCTTTGGAATTCTTTTACTATTTGCAGAATTACTGGCGGGTTTGTTGTTATCGTATTTCGATATTCTTCATGCGGTTGGAAAATTCGAATACACACGTACACCTAACCTTGTCTGACGCGTTTTGTGCGCATTGTTATGCAACTCGCACAGCAAACAAAACATTTTTATACAGCCGAATCTCTATCAATGCTCAACGCGGAACATTGAATGTATGTTTTGTATTCAAATTTAACCGAGTGTATATAGAGATACCAGTGTACGGCGGAGTGATGCATGGATAAATCCGACGCGGAAAATAATAAAAAAATCACGAGCGCTCTTGATGCACATCGCTCAAAACATCAGACCGTGTTTTTATTAAACTTCATTAAACCTTGATTAAAACAGAGAATAATAAAAACAAAATTTAGATGTAAACAGTGTTTACATTCATTTTGACATTAATTTCAAGTTAAATTTAGTTTTGATTAGTTTTCTCAACTTATTTTTTGAAATTGCTATTATTATGAGCAGGTAGTGATAAAAAATAGATATAAAACTAGATCCCAATGATTATTAGCTATATTATATATTTTAATACATTTTTGGATCTTTTTTGCTCTTGTAATATTCGCTTCAAAGCGTCGAAGTTTAAGTTTATTCCTTTTTTATATCGCTATGACGATGTTTCCCGCATCAAAGGTGGTTTGATCGTTTATTGCCGACCGGTTATCGCGGCGGGAACACAACGAAAAGCGTCGCCAGGGTTGTAACATAATCGTTAGCCGAAACGCGTCGGACCCCAAGCCGCGCAGGTTGTAACAACTCAATAGCAATGTCCGAGCAATTTCGTCCTCGAAGTACGCCATTATAGCCAACCAATACGACCAATATCGTCAGGACCCGAGGGAGCACAGCTCAGGAGTTGGAAAGAGGTGGTAGCCTGAGGTGGGCAAAGTGATCGTCGATGCTCAATACTTCTCAATTCGGAAATTTCGGAAGTTGTGCGTTACATTCACCCAATTCACACCACATGACGTACAATTGTATGCGTCTCAGTGACGTAGCGAGTATCAATATCTTGCATTCCGTGTGTATCGAATAACCGCAATTGCTTGAGTTGGATAGTTTCCTGTTCGAACTGTCCAATTTTCCATTATATTAGATTCGCTTTGGTAGCAGCTAATTTTGCATAGTAAATAGTATAGGATATGAGATGATGATGATGATAATTAAGATGACTGATCTAAATTTAGTCGAGGTAGGATATTAATTGACTGAGAGCGAATGTTGTATCTAGATCAAGGGTTTGTAATACCCACTCGAAGTAGTTTGGTTTGTATTCGGTTGACTGCATTACCTACTAGTACATCTTAATGTAAGCCGCTCGCATTTCGCAAAATTTAAAAATATTCATAAATTCAATTTGTCCATACCGACATGCACAGTATGTGATACTGCTTGCATTGCAAATTGGAAGAAACGTCATGCTCGTACATTTCATTTCCATCATCGCACTCCCGCCCGCCCGAAATCCATAATGTTTGCACACGCTCCCGAGCCCGCATTCAATTTATAATTGAAATTCATATATTGCCTCGGATGGCGATGGCATCGGCGATGACTGCAACCCGACCAACCCACACACAACTCTGCAGGAATATTGAGAATATGAAATGATGTAGCGCGCAATGTGCAATGCGCAATGTTTAACTGCAATTTCTCAAAATCGTTTCCGTCGAGAATCTCATTTGCCACCTCGAAGGAATCGCGCCCGGCCAATAAACGCGCAACTTGCGGGAATTGAAATGCTCACAAACTCGCCAAACTTGTAGATGGCGTTTGAGTGCCGCGCGCAAAAGCGCTCATAAGTGGCAATAAAATCAATCTAAATAAACGCGATTTCCTCACGGTTCATATCCGCTCCGAGGCAAACGTGTGACGTCGGTAATAAATCGAAATTGATGTGAATCCATGCGCGAGGGAATTCCGCCCGCGGAGCGTTGAGATGAATAGGAAAAAAACGCGAAAGCGCGCGCGCACGCTGTTTTGCGTCAGAATGGAGGACGTTTTAAAGCGCGCGCAAAGGCGCAAAGTGGAAAGTGGAATGTAGTGTTATTAAAAGCCTTTTTTTGCTTTTCGGCGTCTCAGGCGACGCGATGCTTTTTTTCCGGCGCTTTCTGCAGCGTATTTTGTGCTATTGACTGTCTTGCGCTCGTCCTATGTCTGAGTTTTATTGTCGTTGTCTCGCCGAGTGTAACCGAACGCCGACATTGCGCCGAAATCGATTCGTATGTATCACAACTAGCAAAAGAAACTCAAACTTCTTTTGCATTCCGAGATGCTGGGATTTCTTTATTTTATGCTTGTTCCAAATTCAATTTAATCTGTTTCGTGGCACACAAGCACTGAAGCGATAACAATGAAAAACAATCCAACAGCAGTAGGCAGACAACGCAATCTACTTACACGTCACTTTTTTCCTTAATAATAGATATTGTTAAAGTAGTTATTTTTATATACGTCAGCGCGAGAAGGAAGAACTTGGAAATCGATAACTGTTTTTAATCGGTGTGAAAATTGCGCTTTTCTCGAGGTTGGTAATAGGCGGATGCGTTTCCGCTGACGTTGCGATTAATATTAATTGAGTTTAAAGTAATGCAACTTCACTACCGTGGTTTGCACCGGACGTGATATAATTTCTACTATTTTTAGCTAAATTATGACAGTTTGCATATTTCGAAATAAATTTTAAAAAAATACCTATATTAAAAAGAATTTGGCGTTGCAGAAAAGTTTATGATAAAGTTTGGTGTGCGCACATAAAAAGCTGAAACACTTTAATATCACTAAAATTTCCATGTCCGAGCGTGTCATAATCTCGAAGTTTGCCGGCGGTGCATGTTTGCCCTATGATAATATTATGCTAATACTGCGCAAGAGAAAGAAGTACCGATACAAAAGTATCGTGAAACGTATGTACAACGAGGAATACTCATGCAATGAGTATGTGAGGGTATGTGTATGGCGCAAAATGGCGGACAAAGCCAGCGGACGCGAAACTTTTTGCAAATGAATAATTTATACATTAAGGGATAACAAATTGTTGCCAGTTTTCTGAGCGCGCCGAGCGTGAGTTTTGTTGCACTTGCTGCTTATTGGACAAAAACGCAAACTCCTTGTTTGATTAATCCGCGAGAAGGTTAACACAACTGGAATTAATTATCTAACGGTAACAGACTAACAGAACAAGGTTGGGAGATCCGATGGCGCGCGCGCGTCCCCAAAACTTTGGACATTGTTCACATTCTTAGGTATATAGCTGGTAGTAACAGGGTAATATTATAAAGGTTTAGCAAACTGAATGGTGTTGAAGGTTTGGGTAGGGTTTTGGGTGAATAATGGCGACAGGTGTTTAACGCGCGTTTTCGTTTTGATTTCAGGCATCATCACATCCGGCGGCGCGCGGCTGGTCGGCGAGCGCTACACCGGCAGCGGGACCCGGCTGGATGTGACCTCTCCCGTGCAATCCTCCGCCCCGGCCACCGTAGGACCCAAGTCTAGTACTGAAAGTGTTCATAGAGCCCTCAAGTCTGTATCTAGACAAAGCCTTTTCGGTAAAGGAGATCAAAGTGTTAATTGGCTGCATTGATTGATCTTCTTCTCTTTTTCTTTCGTGTGTAGATTTAGTAAGTTGTAAATTAGGGATGTCGAAGAGCCAACACCAGACGCCCTCGTTCAACCATCAGCGGTACTTTTCGTCGTCACACGATAGTCTCTCGACAGCGTACGGCACGCGGGCGACAAACGTCAGTTCGGCGGCGTCCGAGTTGGACCTGTCGAGAAAAACACGCCGGAAGGACCTCAGGGGCAGGCTGAAGCTGCCGGCGAACGTGGCGCTGGCGAGCAGCGGCGAAGCGCCCTTGTTGGGCGGATGGCGGACGACGCCCGGCTCCACGGCGGGCACCAATCCGCCATCGTACAATCACCTCAACTCGACGAGTAGTTGTAACGGCACCGAAAGGTAATTTAAAACATCACAAAGCCAACACATTCCATCAAACGGTTTTTGTTCCACTTTAGTCGTTATGGTTTTCGTCGAGGCGAATCCATCAACTCACGACTGAGATCTGGTGCTGCAAACTGGTCGTTTGTGTTTGACCCAGCAGGGCGACTATGTTACTACTGGTCGATGGTTGTTTCCTTAGCGTTCCTCTACAATTTTTGGGTCATCATATATCGCTTTGCTTTTCAAGAAATTAACAGTAAGTGCTTAATTTTTATCTATATAAAATTTGATCTCTAGTGCTGCGGGATTTACTTGGAGGGCTTTTAGTTTCATTTTCTAAATGAGTTTATTACTCGGAAAACTATTCGCGGGCGGCTTTTTGTTCTCGTCCGTTTTGCGCCGCACAAAGGATTTTCCTCAGCATAAATTCGTAAAGAACTAATGAGGTCCCAGTTTCCATTAGAAAATGAATAATTATAAAAGTTCTCCACGACTTTGCGCGCAACTTTCCAAAATAATTGGTGTTGCGCACTCGCAAAAGAAAAGAAACGAAACAAAGCGCTAAGAAGCTACCGCCATGCTTCCGGCGTAGGGTGCTTTGATAAGCAAGTTTAATTGATGTGGATGCAATGTTTGTCATGCCAGGAGAAACGATACTAGTGTGGTTCTGCCTGGACTACTTCTCGGACTTTCTCTATCTCATCGACATCATGTTCCACTTTCGTACCGGCTATCTGGAAGATGGCGTACTGCAGACCGACTCGACGAAGCTGCGCAACCATTACATGAACTCGACGACGTTCTACATCGACTGCTTGTGCCTACTGCCGCTGGACTTCCTCTACCTGTCGATCGGCTTCAACTCGATCCTGCGCTCCTTTCGCCTGGTAAAGATCTATCGCTTCTGGGCGTTCATGGACCGCACCGAGCGCCACACCAATTATCCAAACCTCTTCCGTTCCACCAGTCTTATCCATTATCTGCTAGTGATCTTCCACTGGAACGGCTGTCTGTTTCACATCATTCATAAAAACAACGGTTTCGGGTCTAAAAACTGGGTGTTCAGTGACGCCGAGAGTGCCGACGTGGTCAAACAGTACCTGCAGAGCTACTACTGGTGTACGCTGGCGCTGACGACCATCGGGGATCTGCCGCGGCCGCGCAACAAGGGCGAGTATCTCTTCGTTATACTGCAGTACCTCTTTGGATTGATGCTCTTCGCCACTGTGCTGGGGCATGTCGCCAATATTGTCACCTCCGTCAGCGCTGCCCGCAAGGAGTTTCAGGGTGAGTCAACAAATCTTATTTTATTATTTGCACCTTCCTTTTAACTACTACAACTACTACTACTACAGACGTATCACCAAGTTCTGTATCATATCGATCATTCCGTTTGCAACAGGGAACAGACCGAGCAGAAATAACAAACGTCTCAGTCATTTTGTCACATGACTTATGAACAGTCTCCCCAGAACTGACTGCCTGCGTATTGTGTGTGGGTGTGAATGTGTGCATGCATATTATGTATGGGTGTGTGTTTCGCGCCCGAAAGTCGGCGTCGACACGCGCACGACTTGTTAACACAACAAGTGCCACGCTTGCTGTACATACTGCGCGCATAAATCATCACAAGTGTATCACCATACCACTTCTGGAACGTTTTAAACCGCGTTTTGCAAATCGCGTCCTAGCTCTCTCCCCGAAAACACCGTTTGTTATTTCTGTTCGCAGCGTGTGTTTGCTGCCAATATATATTTCATCTGATGTTGCACCCGTGTAACTTACACTCACTCCTGTCAGTCAAAAATTTTGACAGTCAGTCAGCTTGCGGTATAAAAATTGATCCATTGCGTGGGTTTTTACCTTTTTTCTGAAAAATGCATGGCACGCTATACGCTCATCGCGTATAATAAAAAGAGTTACATGATGATAACAGCGCGCCGGATCAAATTTCATACTGCTAGCACAAAAAGGAGAAGAAATCGAGTGGAGAAACAAATATTTCTTTTATATTCCCTCACGTGGTGCCTGTATTTCTTTCTTTCTCACGTCGATGGGATTCGAGAGGAGTCCTATTTTCGCAAGCGAAAGAAAATATTGTGCGCGAAACTGAATTTACGAATTACTCATGTTCTCCGGTTTCAAGGACTCGAAATAAAACGTATAAGACGAACACACCTAACCGATATTTCAAAATTTTGACTAAACCAATAACAACAATGAATACAGGATGATTTTACTCAAATTGTACGCTGGAACGTGTATATCACCTATTTGATTTTTCGTTTCGTTCTGATTATCCTGTATTTACTTACAACTTGCAATTTATTTAATGTTCGCAGACAACTCGGCAATATGTGAGTAGGCCATTTTTGAACAAAGCATCGTTTCCCGATTATATATTTCACATGATATATTGTATTACCCCTTGACTGTTTTGTTGCCTCCCCGGTATTTGGATAACCTTATTATGTGTTGCCTCAATGCTTCCAGTAAAACACGCATACATACACACACAGGACTCCCACTGGTACTGGTTGCGACTTGTTTTCATCTTATTTGCTGATAAACGTTACCACCTTTACTGTTTATGTTTATTATGCGTCTAATTTAATTCAGTTGAAAGCGGCTTTAATTGAAATTGATGAATACTAGATTTTGTTTGATATGTTTGGTTATGTTTGCTCATCTGTAGGCAACCAACATTACATTTTTTGCGCGTTTCTGTTACGCTCGTGTGTTTGTGTGCGTGCGTGTGAGCTTTCAAACAAATGATGCCTATGCGTGTGTGTGGAGTGCGACCGTGAGCCTAATTTTAGCATGCGATGTGCGCAACCAACATCACTCCACCCACTCAACTACGAACGCACACTTTTCTAATTAATTAAAGCAAATATAAAAATAGATACACGAACTGACACTGAACTCGTTCAGGTCGTGTATACTGTATTAAATCAGCATGCAGCACGGCGAATAAAAGAATGATGAGAACCTGAAGGATTACTGACGGGCTTGCGTTGATTAAATGTTTCTCAGCTCCGTGTGTGTGAGATACATATTCCGTGGTTCATTTTTCACCACCTTGCGTCGTTGCCACCGCGCTGCCACCTGAGGAGATGATAACCTGATCGATATGGAACGCCACGCGCGCGCCACTCAGCCGAATTAAAACGTTGTTCGCAATTTATTTAATTAGGGCGTGTGGCAGATAGTTTTTCAAGGTTTAACATTGCACAGTGTTAACGACTCAAGTAGGCAGGCAAAGTACGCATCAACAATATCTCTTAACCAAAGTGACTACCGGTCGATGGGTGAATTATAAAGATTGAGTCCTTAGCGGATAGGACATGACGGCTACGACAGATAATTATCGTTTGATATATCGTCTCGAGCGTGCACAACGTCTCGAATAAAATCGCCGCGCATGTCTGACATGCTCGTCGATGTATCTCAATCAATGCGAACGGAGGGTGGGGGCGGGCGGTGTGGTATGTTTTCTGGCGCTCGCTTTTGCGCGTGTTTTTCGCCCGCCGGCGTCGTCCTGGGTTGATGATCGTGTCGATCGGTCGATTGGACTTGGCGTTTTTGGGGGGCGGCTTGGTCGAGACTATTTTTCTTGCGAAAGCGAGCGCGTGATGAAACGTTTTGGGGTTTGGCCGGGGATTCGCGCAACAGATTTGCGGCGCGCCGTCGTTTTGTCTTGGAGTCTGTTTTCGGGGGTGGATTTGGGAGAAGCAGGCTCAAAACATGACTGCGAGCACGTAACCGACCGGACGTATGATCCATTCAGCTCGAGTTTGAAGTAAATTGAGAGAAAATATAGGGATACATATAGAAAAGAAATATATGTGAGGTGGAAAAACGAAATAAATTGGAGTTGAAACGAATTGGGTGCGTGTGTCAGGAAGGTGAAGACTGAAGAGTTTTTCGTAGGCGAACTTGCCGTTTTATGATTAATGGATTTCGGTTTATAGAGAGAAACGATTTTTTGACGGGAAAATAAAACGTCTGACAAATTGACTTTGTTTCTCAATTATATTTTTATTAAATATGCAACCAGATCTACTTTAAAACGCTTCATGCGAGTATAAATCGGTTGCATATAGTTTTATTCAGTGAGCCGAGTGAGTGCAGATTGCGAAGCGAGAAAAGTCAAATGAAAAACAGAGCGAAGAAAACACGCGCCTGTCGATAAAAGTTCTTTATCACATCACGCGGGATCGTCTCCGTATTAGCACCACTTTATTTTAAATTTAAAATACGTTTTATTAAGCCTACTCAACCTAACCTAATTCATAGTCTATTTTATTTTACTGTGCGTCATAAAAAACTAATGGTTTTTAGTTCGGAATTTAATTATCAACTTTATTTTCAATAATAAATTATTTCAGAGAGATATTGGCAATTAGTTGGGTAATAATTTTAAATTATGTACACAAAAACGGAATAAATGAATTTTGTCGACGACACAGATATTCATTTAATATAAAAAAAATCGTAATCAATATTTAGTATGCATTATACATTTTAGTGCGCAGTTTTTGCACCGATAAATTTATTAAAACAAAATAACCTGTTTCAATATTAATTTATTAACGTATTTACATTATAAATGCATGTACGTACATTTTGTCAGTGTATATCGATGTTTACAAAGTGTTGGCGGAATCCGTTCGCCGTGATATGTACGCAAATTGAAAACCAAACGGACGCGTTTGATCTTTGCTGCTACTGATGCGCAGCATGATGCTGCAGATCCGCCTCTCGGCCTCGAGGCTCTGGATATGTTGAATGTTGGGTTGCAAAGCTTATGGTCGAAGTGTAAAAACGAGCTGCGGATGTAACATTACTTGCGCTATCTCAACTCGAGCAAATTCAGAGGAAAAATCATCTGCACACGCAAAATGAAAGACGACAAACTTTTGCATTTCACTGTGGTACAAATGTGGGTTGGTTTATATTAGTGTCAAAAGTGACATCAAACTGGCGTTTATCACACAGCAAGGTCAATGAAAAATGTCAATAAAAATATCTTTGCTTTAAGTGAACAAATGTTTGTTTTGCATTATAATGCGGCTTCAATATCCGTTTGCTCGCAACAAAATTTCTTCCTATTCATGCGGCGGCCCCCGTCGCGAATAAATTTACATCCAGCAGCGCCGCCGCCATTGATTCATCGACGTTGGCGGGTGAAATTTAAAAGTTAAATTTTTCTATTATCGCGCTTTTTACGCATGCATTGATAATGTGAATGGCGTGGCGAGGTCTCTTTGGCGTTTTGCTTTCGGGTGCCCTCCTCCGAACCGCCTTCGACCGCCTCATGCATTCCGGCAGGCTGGCTTTTCTTTCGGCAATAAAGTCACCCGAAGGAAATTCATGGAAGTGAGTTAAAACGGAGTCAGTCAATAGCTGATAATAAAAAATTTGCTTTGGGGCGCCTACAAAAGCTACAAAATCAGTTAATACAGGGACGGATTTTATTTTTTTACTATTTTTTTTTGTAGATAAGATAATATTGATGAATTCGCAAATGTACGAACACAAAAAATCTTATTTATACTCGTCATAGGTGAACACACGTCGTAAAATCTATTCAACTCTCGACGTGCTGTTTTTTGCGCTGACTTATATTTTTTCCTATTCGTCCTCAGAGGTAAATGCTTACGACACTCGTTTCGACTTCCAAAAGTCTCGCAATCTTTCCACCTCTAGCATTCCCGCTTTTCTACCTTCTACGTTCGCCCAAGTTCTTAATAATTTTTTTTCTTTGCCCACGCGCTGAGTTGCGACTTGTTTCCGTTTCGGCCACGCGGTGCGAACTCTCTCAAGTGTAATTGGACACGTCTGTCAAACGGAAAACGAGATTAGAGAGAGATAAACCGTCGGCGGCATTGTTTTATTTGTCTCATCGGTAAATATCCGATAAAATAAAACGCGATAAAATGTCGTGTCGTCGATGCGCGGACGATGCTTAGCGGGTGGAAGGGCATGCGGGTGTGGGAAATGGCTCGAGGCTTCCGTCGACGGCGACGGCGGCGGTTGGCCCAATAAAACACGCCGCTCGTAAAACAAAAGCGCTTTTAATCAAATCGAATTTATTTTTATTTGCGCCTTTTCGCTTCTCAATACCAATTAAGACAACAACAACACGCCAGCAACTCAGCAGTCGCAGCAATGCCTCTGGAGTAAAGCGACGCAGTTTTCTTCTATAATAAATTACAAAACGCACAAATGGGAAATGGGAGCCTTTTAACAGACGTTACAAGCACTTTCACTCGTTCATTCGCAGCCGTTGAAAGTTCACTCAATGTGTAAGTACAATGACAGGATGAGTGTGGGCGCGTACAATGACGAGAAAGTGATCCGGCCGTAATCGATTTCATTAAGTATCGTCTTTCTTGCAGGCGACACCCCATCGTCGCTGTAACAATAGAGCGAAGCATTAAAAACGAACGAACGAGCTGTAACGACGGCGAAAAACGCCGATGACGTTGACGACCGTGTTGAGATGTCGAGATGTCGTCATTCAACGACGGCTAAGGCACGTGGAAAAAAGTGACTTGGACCTCACTCAAGCATAAAAGACAAGTGTGTTTTCCATCACCAGGTCATCAGGAGTATCAGATACCACATAAAAAACTACAACACTTGAATCTTTTATTCAAACATTAGTTTTGCGATTACTAAACGTTAACTCACTTACTGCACGCGAGAAAATAAAACCCAAATTGCATTTGTCAGTCTGTGAGCACGCAGCTTCACCGATTTTGCGCTGCGATGCTCAAGTCGAAAACAACCTCGGTGCGTGTTTAATAACACACCAGAGGAACCAAAAGGACACGGCAAGGTACACAATTACGGCGTATGTTCGTGTGAGTGTGTGTATAATGTGTTTTGTCTGATTTCCACTGCTAACGATGCGCTTTGTGCTCTCCGGCTCGCATCGCACGGCGAAGGCGAACGCGAGATGACGTTAACACAGCACTAACATAAGCAATTATTACATACGATTGAGCATTAAATTATCTCGGCGTTTCGCCGGGCGCGCGCTTGCCGTAATTTTCCTATTTTGCCGTTTTCCTATTTGCAGCCGTTGCGTTCGGCCGGTGATCCTCTTAGTACCGTTCGAGTGCGCGCTCATGTGTTTGCTTTTATTTGTGTGATCGTTTTCCATCATTCGATCGCACATAAACTTAAATTGACGACGGCGCGCGTGCTGTTTTACTGGTTCTTGTCGGCGATGAACATTTATTGGATTCCGAGCGCTTTTTATTGCATGTTAAAGTTTCTAATGATTAATCATTACAAAACATTTCTAAATGATTACAGTGTTGTGGGATTTATTGCGATTGTTTCT